TATATAGGAGTGCAGACTTTAAATACACATTTTATACACTACATAAAGTGTATACACACATTTCACTTATTTGAAATGCAGTGTTGGAAGAGTTTTACAGATAGCATGAATTGTCATAAAGATAAGTAAAGCAAATTAAGTGTGGACTTTCACTACAAGCTAAAATTACCAACCAAAGGGTACTGTACTACCATCATAAGAAGACAAGCTCACTGGAAAAGGCAGCAATGCAAGAAAAAGTGCAAACAGTAGGAAAAGAGGAAGACTGCATATGAGATGGATTGACACAATAAAGAAACCCACAGTCTTTTGTTTGTAAGACCTTTTGTTTGGTGTTGTAGACAAAGTAGGACCAGGAGCAGAAAGACTGGGATTCAGATTTTGAGAATAAACTGTGATACTCTTGCCTGCTTTGGGGATGAGATATAGAGAAATGCAATTGCTACACACTTCAGATTTCTGCTGTTCTCAGCAAGCTGCAGAGCTAAATGCAGTGGAGATTAACAGTTTTGAGTCAGTTTTGAGATAACACTCACACATACACACACACACACTTTTTTTCTAAACTTTTAATTGTACAGCATTAACGCAGAACCCTTTGGCAAGGAAAAAAAACAAGTTCCCAAAGAGACACTCTGCTTTGATGAAACAAACTCAGAGTAACATTTATACCAGATAAAAGTGTACACAAACACCTTGCTCCCTCTATTTTGTACATACATTTGAAGTCGCATGTTCCTTCCCTCCTTAACCTGCAGCCTTTCCTCCTGTTTGCAAAGTTACCTCGGGCGGGGCTGGAAGAAGTCATTTGACTCCTGGGGGCCAGCTGTAACCAATCAAGCAGGCTTATCTCCAATCTCTTGAAGAAATCTCTTAAAGAAGGAATGCCAGAACCAAGGAAATTAGCAAGAAGAGGTGGCTGAGGATGGTTTGAGGTTTGGCTGTTGGGTGGGGTGGGGTAGCGTAGCGGGGTAGCAGGGGGGTAGTGCTCTGCTTGCATGCCAAGGGAGATGTCTCTGTATGCCACAGGCGGCACGCGTGCCATAGGTTCGCCATCACTGTGTTAGAGTGACACAAATATGAAACTGACATATTTATCAGTGTGGGCAGATTGCACACCTCTAAGTAAAATTGGTACACAAGCTTTAATTGTAAAAATAAATTTCTGGCCACTGCCAAAACCTTGGCTTCCAGGACTAAATTCAGGAATATCCCCAAGCAATTAATTCAAATGGAGTACAGTCCTAAGTAGCACATTGGGAATTCCTGTTATCTAACCTGCCTTTCGACTTAACCTGTCTTGTTTGGATTTTACACACACTCTGGCACAAAATGTGGTCATAACCACTTATGAAAGTCTTTCTTATGTGGTCCTCATGCCTTTTCCCCCTGCCTCCAGCCTATCTTATAAATGTTGATACCTTTGATTCCTGATACTGTGACACCATTTACCACCTATTTGTACAATACTTTTGATTTTAGGTTGATGAGAGTAAAAGGGGCATTGGATATCTCACCGTAGAAGAGATATTTGTCATCATCCTAACTGCATTTGTACATAATGACAATCCACTATGTGCCTTCTTGAAATTTGGCTTCCAGCATAGTTAATAAGCCATGGTTCAGTGTCTTGCCAGAAATCTCTGTCTGGTGCTGTATTTTGCTGTTGGCCTGCCGACCTTAGCTTATTTAAGCAATGGTCTATCATGATATCTGATCCTGCAACTGTGGATTGCCTTTTGCTTGTTTCTGAAGTTGCTCAGCACTCTGAAAAAAGATGACAGAAAGGGTGAAAAAGAAAACAAAATGGAGAAGACAATTGCTTTAGTTGTTTGAGTGCAATTTGCAACTTGAGCAATAAACTATGATTAACACAAAAAATGGTGTATTGTGACATATGAATATGCAGTTGCTGTCTTCTAGAAGTCAAATACCAAACAATTCCAGGAACATATCCTCTTTCTTATTCAAATTTTGAAATGGTAACCATATTTGAGGTTTACCTACACACCTAGCATAGTATACATATGTAAAGAAATCAGTGTGTGAGCACCATCATTTTATTATTTTCTGATGCTTTTTTATTATTAGAGTTTAATTGTACAGTTGAATTTATTTCAAAGTTTATTTGGTCAAAATATAATTCAGAGTTTAAACCTCTAACAAAGTGTCAGTACATTTTAGCTCATAAAATTACCTAGCAAATGCCTATATTAAAATGTGGTTTTATTTGATTCATATGCCATTTGATTTATAGGTTGGAGATCGCAGAGGTTTGTTACTTCTGGTTTGTTTATTTGTTTGGTTTTTTTGCACAGTGGAGGTTGAGACTACAGTTATTTTTCTTGGATAATTGTGTTGTTCTGTTTCAGGAACAACATCTGCACAAACAAAAAAGAGTCTTTAACAAGTTTATTTCAGTGTATGCTTTCATGGATTATAATCTGCTTCTTTAAGAAGTGTGTCTGAAGAAGTGGATTGTTGTCTGCAAAATCTTACATTGAAATAAATTTCTTAGACTTAAAAAGTGCCACAATACTTTCTATTGTTTCTGAAAATTTAGATATTTTAGGAACCCCTTGTTAACTTCTTGCAGTGGCTAAACTTTCTGAAAATAGTCTGCAAGATGTCTTGATCTAAAGTTTTGATGCATTCAAGTGTGGGGTTTCATGCCAGTTCGTGCCAGTTTGGTTGTGGGTGCAGATCAGTTTCCTTAGATAAACCCCTGGACTAGTTGGCCGTCTTAATTTACTGAGTCTTAAATTAATGTAGATGAGGCTAAAAAGTATAAAGTAGAAGTATGTTTTGCCAGTGATTTTAAGATTGTGGCATTGTTGGTATTCAGCAGAGAGAAAGAGGATCCTCATTTGCTGGAATACAGTGGCTGGTGAGTCTGGTCAGAATAATTGATTGACAGTTCCAGCTACTTAAAGATATTCTAGTGTAGAGAACTTTAAGACTTATACTGTCACATTGCATATAAAAATGTTACTGCTGAAGCAGTATAAGAAAAGGTACAGTGTATGTGGATTGGTCTTATTCTACAGCCTTATACATTTAACAAGATTTGAAACGTGTGAAACAACTGTATAGGCCTCAGTATTTTAAGTAAAGGCATCTAATGTTTACAGCATTCTTTTGGTGTAATGAGTTCATTAAAAAGCTTTTGATGCTAATTCTGAAATCTATAATTTGTTCAGTGTCTTTCATATGCAGTTTTGATGCTAACTGACAAGCTGTAAGTTAATTAGCACAGACCGTACTAATGAGAATGTTTAAAATCTTCACTTTTGAATTTTCATATTGATGTGCTGTGGACAAATTGAAGTAAATTCTAATATACTGGAGAGGAAGTTGTGTTTTTTATTTGGTTTGCTAGGCAGATGCTTTTTCAGGTCTAAGTGGTGTCAGGGGAGAAAGTTTTTTTTTTCTTAATTGCAGTTTTAAAAAGAGTATTGCAAGAAACGATTTTCTTTTTTCAAAACAAGGGATAACCCAAAATCAGGGCAGTTAAAGTAAGGTTGTTAATTAGTATGAAATACAGCATATTGAATTAATATGTGGTGTTAATTAACAGGAAGTCCAATGTTGTGTTGTAATTACTACCAATAGTTTTGATATAATGTGTGACTGAAGGTGAATATTATGGCGAACAATTTACTAACCACATTAAAACTAGATATCCTATCTTTTATTAGTTTGTTTGTTTCTTTGTTTTCTTTAGACAATATGGATAGACTTCTGCGACTAGGAGGAGGCATGCCTGGTCTGGGACAGGTTAGTATCCAGCTTATCAATATATATTTTTAAAGATCAAGCTGTATCCTCTCCCATATCTTGTCTATTATCTCTTACAAAAAAATTAAATTATCAGAAGTACAAAAAGGCGGACACGTAAGTTATTGACTAAATGTCTTTAAATTATGGATTATCTTCATTTGTTTGTAGACAAACAAACAAAAAATTAATCATTCTTTGCTTCATTACGTATGCAGTTGCTTATGCTGTAAGCAGGATTGATTGGAACATGTACATTAGCAAGCTGCTCATACATAATGTGACTGGGTTCCTACAGTTCACTGAGTTTTTGTTGTTGCTTGACAAGAGTTCAACAATGATCTTGTGCTAAGGAAAGTAAATCAGCATTCTATTAGGCAGTTGTAAAAAAGAAGGCAGCCAAAACAAAAAATATATAATTTTAAAACTGGCCTTTGGATCCGCCTCAAACTTTGTACAGTTGCAGCAGACAGTCTGTTCTTGTTCTGTGCCAGATTTGGGGAAGTTTAGGTAAAGGATTTTTGAGTAACTATTTAAAAAAAAATACAATTGTGTTACTTCCCCTCCCTGTTCAGAGGTAGGCAACCCTAAATGTCCCTAGATTTAAAACAGATCACATAAATTCAAAGATCAATCTTGTTTGTCTTGAAAGAGAATGGATTGACCCACCCATTTTTTTAAAAAAAATTGGAAACAATCCAGACTTCAAGTGCTGGAATATTAATCCTCAAAAAAGGCCTTTCAAAAAGGAAAAACATACACTTTGTTATAAGGCTGAGCATACCTGGTAGCTAGCAGGAGCTTTGGGAAATGAAACATAGTTAGGGTCACAGAAACAGGCTGAAAAGATAGATTTTCTTTAAAGAGTAAAATAAAAACAGGTTTGCTTTAAAGGAAGTGGTGGAATAACAACCAAAGAGTGGTTTGCCATGTATCTTCAGTTAATGTTCTCTCAGGATTTCTCAAACCAGTCTCATGTAAGTTTTCAAAGAGGGAAGCAGCTCCAGGTCTGGGACATCTGATTTTTGACCCTGTCACTCAAGGGAAGTGACAGAATTAGCTGTCTCTTAACTAACTTTTTAAATTCTTCCTGGCTACACAGGCTTATCAGAGTCATGGTTGCAAGATATTCTGTGTCTGGTTGTAAAAATGGACACAAAAAGAATATTTTTAAAAATAACATACAGATATTGAAAATATTTTAAAAATGCATTTAAGAAAGAATGGTGAACAAATATTCAGAAGCTCACTTTTTAAAGCTGTGATTTACTGTGTTTTGCTTTGTGGCTTGGGATGGTCTTACTGGATCCTAGCAGAGCTTTGAAGCCTATATCTTGTCGTTGTGTAAGACCGGGGGTGAGAGCAAGTTTCCTCTTACGGGAGTGCCATCCCTCCCGCCTACCATCAAGAAAGAGAGCCAGACCCTGCCAGTTCCCCCACCCAGGAAGATAAGACCACCTGGACCAGACCCGGGGAGGCTAAAGAAGAATTTGAACGAACTAATGATCAAGGAGACCAGGACTATTGTCGGGACAGGGAGAAAAAGCATGGGAAGTAGTGGAGGCAGTACTGGTGGATAAAAAGGAGGGGAAGGAGAGCTACCTGTAGGCTGGGAGTGGATATAGGTTGAAGACCCCTGGACAGGAAAGGTGGAAAAACTGAGGGTCCTGAAAGAGGAGGTGGATGCCAGGAGGAGGAGAAAATTCACCCCTAAAGCATCATACTGGGGTGAGAAAGAGACCAAGGAGTGGCAGAAGAAATTGAGAGACAAGAAAGAAAAGGTGGAAAGAGAACGAAGGGAGAGAATAGAATGGAGGATGTGGGAGATGCAATGGACGGGACCAAGGGAGGACCCTGGCAGACGGGGGAACCCTCCAGGGAGTGTGGCTGGGTGGACTATCGAAACGAAGACACCATCCCCTTACTGGAGGGGGAGAAGGGATTATTATTAAACCCGGATACCCCACCTGAATGGCTGGGACCCTGGAATGTTCAGAATGGAAACCCTTTTAAATTTGACAAATGGAACCCCCCAGTAGACCTGTTGTCTGATGGGGAGAAAGGTTGGAATACATTTGCTGACACAGGATTTTTTGTTAAACGACACAATAAATGTTACCCCTATTTCGAAGCCGAGGAAGTCTGATGATTTATTTGGGGCTGGCTTGGAGCCGAACATCGAACCGCACACATTGTCTCCTGTCAAAGTCTCCATTCCACTCAGTTTTGTCATTATACAATTCCTTGGTATTTTTAAAATTCCAAAGGTGTTATGTGCCATCAAGTCACTTCTGATTACATCAGTTAATGGCCTCCAAAATGTCATACAGTGGACCCTCGACTTACAGACGGCTCAACTTACAGACTTTTCGAGTTACAGACTTCTCTGGCCACAAAATTTAGATTTGACTTGCAGCCGGAGAATCGACTTACAGACCAGAAAAAAACCCAAAATGGAACAAAAATAGAATAAAAACTGCCAGTTATGAGATTAATCGGTTTTCAATGCATTGTAGGTCAATGGAGATTCGACTTACAGACTTTTCGAGTTGCAGCCACAGTTCCAATACGGATTAATTCCTTAAGTAGAGGGTCCACTGTATCATTAACAGCTCGGCTCAGATCTTGCAAACCAACAATATCTCATGTTAGGCTGTTCCCTGTTCCTATTCCCCCATCTCTTTCTAGCAATATTGTCTTTTCCAGTAAGTTCTGCTCAGGTGTTGCAAATTAACAGTTGTGGATCCCTTTATTGAGTCAATCCATCACATGTTAGTGTTGAGAATTTTGATTATAACGTGTATTCTCATAACATCAGCAGAGTAAGGAGATATGTTGGCATGGGGCCAACTCCAGAGGCTTTATATGGCTCTTGCCTCTCCAAAAGCTTGGAGTCAGATTCGGATATGAAGCTTGTAAGAGCACTCTGTTTGGGAAAACAAACCTTGGACCTAAAGACAAGTTACACAGAGCCTCTTATCTAGCTGCTTCTAATCCTCCCCTTCATTAGCAGAGTAAAGACACAGACGTAAGAAAAGGCACAGAGAGAGTTCTGATACAACTTATATCATAATATATTAGGCTTGGTTAGACATAAATACATGGCAGTATATACATTGGCATAGACTTCTCAGAGCAACATTATATTCAAATTCAAATAAAGCAAATGACCACCAGACTTATAACTGAGTGGCAAAATGGTGCTCTCATACACTTGCTTATATACTGAGAGCAGCGTATCACTGCACACATGGCAGCTGAAGATGTTTAACAAGCATTACCTAAGCTTGTTCCATCTGCATGTTATCAGTCATCCATTGGCTTGACAGGTTACAGGAATGACTTTGCATTCTCTACTACAGTATTAAATTTAACCCCTTGTTCACTTAAAAGAACAAATCCTGACAAGATATTGGTGAGCAGAGATATGTACTTATGACACTGAGAGAGTAAAACCAACAACTTAGACTACTTACATATATACATAGAGAATAGACATTCCTCTGGCAGCATAACATGACATGAAGCAACACACAGCATAGGAAAAAGTGATCTTACAGCAGATAAAGATGTTCATTTTACACATGACTTATGTAAAGTTCTGTGACCAATCAGAAAATACATTACTTCATTTTCTGTTACACAATTTCATCATGTACACAGCTGCACATTAAGTATTAATCCTTGATCGTCGTCGTTTAGTCATTTAGTCGTGTCCGACTCTTCGTGACCCCATGGACCAGAGCACGCCAGGCCCTCCTGTCTTCCACTGCCTCCCGGAGTTGGGTCAAATTCATGTTGGTTGCTTCGATGTCACTGTCCAACTATCTCATCCTCTGTCCCCTTCTCCTCTTGACTTCACAATTTCCCAACATCAAGGTCTTTTCCAAGGAGTCTTCTCTTCTCATGAGATGGCCAAAGTACTAGAGCCTCAGCTTCAGGATCTGTCCTTCCAGGGAGCACTCAGGTTTGATTTCCTTTAGAATGGATAGGTTTGTTCTCCTTGCAGTCCAGGGGACTCTCAAGAGCCTCCTCCAGCACCACCATTCAAAGGCATCAATTCTTCGGCAGTCAGCTTTCTTTATGGTCCAGCTCTCACTTCCATACATCACTACAGCTTTGACTATCCGGACTTTTGTTGGCAAGGTGATGTCTCTGCTTTTTAAGATGCTGTGAAGGTTTGTCATTGCTTTCCTCCCAAGAAGCAGGGGTCTTTTAATTTCGTGGCTGCTGTCTCCGTCTGCAGTAATCATGGAGCCCAAGAAAGTAAAATCTGTCACTGCCTCCATATCTTCCCCTAAATATAATCAGTACAGTAACTCAGGTAAAATCAGCCATTTTACATTTAACTATACAACATTAATATTTAATATAGTTTCATATCAAAATCTCAAAAGTTAGGTCTCCTTTTCCTGATGCCCCTTCCCCACTTTTGCAACAATAGTGTCTTTTCTCGTCAGTTCTGTATTTTCATTATATGTGTAAGGTAGGATAGCACCAACTTTTACTCACTTTTGTTTTAGTGAGAGTTCAAGCTTGACTTCATTGAGCACCCATTTATTTGCATTTCTGGTTGCCTTTGGTATCTGTAAGATTCACCCCCAACATCACATTTGAAATGGATTTCCCCACCTGTCTTTATTCATTGTCTGTCTTTTTCATAGTATGAATGGTATTGACCTTGGTTTCAAGTGACAATCTTTGCTAACTTTCAGTCCCCCCCCCTTTTTTTACATTTCAGAAGGCAAGGGGACTTGGGGCTCACACTATGTGCCCCTCAGCTGCCAACAGTTGATTACATCAACATTACCTATTATTAATAATCGAGGTCCAGACCACATGTCATTTTAAAAGAACCAAATAGAAATTGCTTATTGTTACAGATGTCGACAGAACGAGCAGTGGTGTTAACTCTTAAACAAACATTTTCCTTCATCCACTCTCAACCACCACTCTCCCGCCCAAATTCCAAAAATCTCTCATCTCTCCATCTCCCAATC